CGGTAATGTACTGTTTTGCCGCGCGAACGACGGACCACGGCAGCGGTGAAGCAGTCACCGCAAGGGGGATTTCGCCGCTGCGTCTCCGTCGAGCGGTAAAGAACGTCGGACGTCGTCGACGTCAAGTGTGAATTGCTCCATTGGAGTCAATGTATTTGTGGATCAGGCGTGTTTTTACGTTGCGTTACCGCACCGTATAAATACGTTCGTGTGCACCGACACTTAATGTGTAAAGTTCTGTGCAGAGATTTTGTGTACTATATATCTTTTAAATAATTTTGTTTGGTTTTGTTTTGAGACAATAAATTGATTTCCATATAAATGCCAATTTTTCCATTTTCGTCCCAAATTTATACATCTTACATTTATCTTATATTTATTAATATTCAATTATTTTAGTATTCATTCCCTAAATATAAATTCATTATTTATTCTTGAGACTATTAGTCAATTTGTAAATATTTTAAATATACATGTTACTGTTTTATATTACTTTTATTCTTTCCTCTCTTTTCTAAAAACCAGATAAGAAATATTCCGAGCATTCGTGAAGCCACGTCGTTTCTACCCCTTAAGGACTAAAGTGAGTCTATAACTAGTTTTCCAAAGCCGATCGACTATGCTATTAAGGGATATTTTTTTTATTTTATTTTTTATTACTTTTATTTGCCACTGGTGAATGGATGTTCCTTCGGGACTCCAGTACCCTTTGACTGGTGACAGTGCTGCCTTCATCCCTTAGTAGTTTATTGACAACAGTAATTAATGATCTATCAGTTGTTACAATTGGGTCATTTTAGACTATTTGGTTGTTACAGTGTTGACAAGCGGTGGTCCTTTAGAAAGTTGGTTGTTAGAGTGGTGACAAGACGGTGTTTTTTGTTATTTCACTGGTAGGAAAGAGGACAGAAAGGGTGGAAATCACTATTTTGTTATAAAGACATTTTTAAAAAGAAGAAAAAGACGAGTAAGTGTAAGATGAGCGAATAAGTACATCTTAGAATATTTAAAGAGGTTTGATCTTCCCAAAAGAGGCAGATTAAATTATGAAATGTAAAGAGATTGTTTTAATAGGTGAATAATGTTTTAGATATTCGACGAGGAGAGTTCCAGGAGAAAAACAGGAAGAAATGAAGAAAGTTTGGGACAATGGATCGAGGTATTTTTCCGATCAACCCCAAACAGATGAACCAGAGCCATACACAGCGCTACCACAAATTGGAAGGAGTTTAGGGAAAAATAGGTCGACGTAGTTGTCGACCAGCCCTAAGCAACGCCCTTTGATATTAGGACGAGATGTGGGAGCCTATTCGCTCTACCTAAAGCTATGAAGCTTAACCAGGAGCAAGCTGCTCTACCATGGAGCAACGCCGCTATTTTATTTATTTATTTGTATCCAAACAGGCCAACGGCCTTATTACATGGATAAAAGTATCATAAACATAAATAATAATATCAATAATAAACAGTAGGTAATAACAACTAATATTACAACTTATTCAGTAAAGTAATAATTAATCAAGAGTAATGTAATAATTAAATACAAGTTTTCGGAACATATTATATGGTAGTGTCCAATCTACATCAATACAAGTGTTAATATTATTTTCCAATCGGAGCATGGTCACAAAAGGTGACCTGGCAGTGGTAAAGGAATATTAAACATTCATGGATGTCACATTCTCCTCGAAGGTACATTAAATCGTATTAAGTATAGTAGCTCAGGTGATTTAATTTTATAGTTAATAATTTTATATAAAAAAGTCAACATTATCATATTCCTTCTGGTGTGAAGGGAAGGTACCTATTTTAAATTATTTTCTTAAGTTTGCAGTTCTATCAATATTGTAGTCTGGGTATATATGGAGTTTTTTGAAATAAAGATATCTAAGAAATTTATTCAGTATTTTTTCAATCTCATATAGATTAGTTGGATGTTTCCCCATCCATACCTCAGCTCCAAATTCAAGTTTTTGTCTAACTAGAGCTAACTAGAACTAATTAGAGCATAATAAAGAATTTTTATAGATTCTATGTTAGTAAAACTTCTAGTTTGTCTACTTATGAACCCCAGCATTCTATTTGCAGCCTTAACTATATTTTTACATGATAACAAGAGTACGCCGATCTACTATAAGACGAGCAACTTTACAAGGATCACACCTCTGTACCAGGAGCACGATGATTTACAAGGAGCAAACCACTCTATCAGGAGCCAGTGTGCTATACCAGGAGCATGTCGCTCTATCAGGAACCAGTCCACTCTACCAGGAGCAACGCCGCTCTATCAGAAGCCATGCATCTCTACCAGGAGCTACACCGCTGTATCAGGAGCCAGTCCGCTGCTATGCCGTTAGGCTAGGCGCCACGCCGCGCTACTAGACGGGTAAATTGTGATGGGAACATGAAAGTTCCACCGAGCAAAAGGAGTACGAAGAATTAAAGTTATAGGATGGAGCTGAAGAATTAAAGGACAGAAGAGTAAGAAGAAAATAACATTTATATTAACAGGTGGTATACATATGCAAGCAGTAAATGGGTAAAATACGAGTATCATGCATATCTTTAAAAGTTAAAATTAAACAGTTAGATTAAGAGGTAATAAAGATTAAAATATATTAAATATCAGTTAGTAAAGTTTCTAAATAAATTTAATAGAATATTATTAGTATAAAAATAAATTTTACTGGACTTGATTAGAAAGAAACCATTATTTTCAATGATCTTCCATCATACGAACTATGGACTCAACAGTCCTTTAACCAGATTTCAAAGGCAAGGAAATGAAATTAACAGACACACTGATCTTTTGGGAGTTAGTCGGTTTAGGTTTAAAAAACAGCTAAGGGAGTACTTATCGAGTTAGCTTTAGCTCTAAGTTTTTTTTTCTTTTTTGTGTGATAATTTAGGTTAGGTTTAAAATATCTACTGATAATAATTATTTTGTAAAAGGAGATTTTCCGTAAATAAATAAACATAAAAAAAATATTAAAAAATAAGTGTAGGTACTAATTCAATCTAAGCTTACGTGCTTATAAGAGGATAGGTTTATTTCATGAAATATATGTTGTTTATTTTGATGACCAGCAAATAGATAGTAATATTCTGTAATAAAAATATACCAGCCTTATAGCTTTATTTAAATTCCGTGTGCGAAAACAAAGATGAAAAACAATTACAAATTTGTATTTTTTTTTAATAAATAACTTTACAGTAGTTTGAGATGTGATTATATAAAATAAAAAGTGCATAAATTTTGTAATTCTCGAAGAATTAGAAAATGCTAAATAGCCATAAAAGTACAATATTTTGAAAAATAATATTTATAGTAAACAAAAATTGAGATATTTATTTTAAGAATAAAGCAAATTTTCTAGTTAATAATAAATAATTTTGGAAAAAAAAATATTTGTTTTCATAACTTTAAATGTGCTTTTGGTTAATTAAGGAAATTAGTACAATCATTTTATTATTGTTTCTATTTACATTGTCTTTCCACCTGTTAATGATTATTACTGTTGGTTGGTGTGTTAAATAAATAAAATAAATAAAAATAAAATATCTGTTTAATCAAAATTAAAATGTATTACATATTATTTATAATATCAACATTATTTTCTAATAATTTTGACTAGATTACTTATTTATAAAATTGTGTTTTGGTAAAAAATTACATCTAGGCAACCAATATTACTACCTTCTTGTATTGTTAGTTGCATATGATTAACTTCATTCTTTTATTGATAAATAGAAAATATTATTAATTTATTCTCAACGACTTGCTGTAGTGTATTTAAATTGTATGTTAAAGTTATTTAGATTTCAAGACAGTGGGTTATTTTCTTATGTATTGTGTTTTAATTATTTTATGCTGATTTAGAATGAAAAATAAGGATTAAATCAACATTATTACTAGGTTGAAGGTTTAACCAAATTCTATTTTTATAAGTCAATCAACCATTTGTGATATAAACTTTCAATACTAATATGTAATATTGACTTTAAACCAAAAAAAGGTATATTTTTATTTGTTTTCTTTTCGCAACTAGTGACATAATAAATTTTTCGAAACCAGTTTCATAATTTTCAACATAATGCAAAACCCGTAAAGTAGATCATTTTGACACTTGCTGCGATTACACAAAAATGTCACTTGAAATGTCAAAATTAGAAAAACACTATTTTATACAAACATAATTAATAATTTAATTTATAATTTATTCTATGTGATAATTTGTCATTACCAAATAACGGTCTTTAGCTTTTTAAATATCATTGGTAAAAATAAAAATTACTCAAATTTTAAATATGTGGTAGATGTGGTTGATGAAGTCAAACCAACAAAAAAGCTAGTTAACAAGCGATATTGCCAGATAATCAAATTAGTGAAACAATTTCAGCATTTCAAAAGGGAAATAAAAGTGCAGAGTAAGTTGTGTTAACACTCAGTGTTACTCAGAATAAGCAATAGGTACCTCCTCTTGCAAATGCTGGAAGAACCTAACTAGTTTGACACTGAACTTCATATTAAACTGGAAGTGCCAACCATACAGAGTGGGCCACTCAAAACAGTCCATCCTGTTATTTGGCAGTATTTATTGGATTTTAAGAAAATGCTGAGACTGATCCATATTCCAAAGGGCACATTTTTAAAATAAAAATATAGAACTTTGTCATCCAACCCCTTAATTTTAAATAGGGAATATACCATGTGTGGCACACATCATTAGAAGGTATTGTGATGGACTATTCAGGAATATAATCATCTATGACTTTTTTTTGATTTGAACTCCACGTTTGTAAAAAAAGTATTAATTTAATTAAAGTGTATTACCTCTATAAAAATAAACGCAACCCCTATGTTTGGCTAATGGGTTCAATTTTTTCCATTTCAATGTGATGGAAGTGTTTATTTAAATTTGGGTTTCTAAGCTAATTTTGAAAAGTTAATTGATTTGGCATGTAATGCAAAATAATTAAAATAGATATAACATACTCACCAATGATGATGAGTAGTTAAAATTTTCGTTAAACGTGCCCCTTCTGTTTGCACAGCTTGTAACACAGTATCAGGTTCAACAGGATCAACTACAGCTGCTTCTTTAGAGTGTTCATCTGTGATCTAATAAAGAATAAAAATTAAAAATATGGTCAAAAGTTCAAACTAGTTATAAATAACAATATTTTGAAAAGTAAGCTTACCAAGTACATGTAATTATCTGAAAGAGCGGGAAGAATTTGGATCTTCATTGAATTTAACTTAATAGTAACTTGTGAACTGTGAAAACCTCTAAATCCGTTATTCAAACGGGCTTGTGCTGTAACAATTGTAATTAATAGTGAATTAATTATTACAATTTAAAGACAATTCTTCGCCTTAATGCAGAACTTTTGTATGTCCAAAAAAAGGCTAATTTTCATTTGTATTGTCAAATGAAGCTATGGTGCCCCCTCTATCCCATATAGGAATATTGTAACTCAATCTGCAGTAGTTTATCTCTTACGGCTTAGTAAAAATATTGTAAAACATAAAACTTTTATTTAGGTATTCTGAAGGCAAAAAGTTGTTCTCCTGCAAAATTAACATTTTGTGACATACAATAGTTCTGCATTAAAGCGATGAATTATAGCTATATGAAAATAAATAAAACATATAATTCTAAAATATAAATTCCTTCTCATTTTAGAGCAGTGCCTATACATTTTTCGTAGGTACAAAAGTTACATTATTTTTATACACATTTGGATTATGCTTCTGAAAGTTTATAAATTTGTAGGAGTATATAAAAAATATGATATTTATGTAAGTACCTATATAACTTTTTATAGATGTAATAGAGGTGCATCATCATCATAAATGTCACAGGAAAGGCTCTTATGTATTTATAAAAAAATAAGGCTGCAAGAGATCTGATAAATATTAAAACAATAAATAGGTAATCCCAAAAATATTTTAATTATCATAAATAATCTATCGTACTTAGTCCTCCCTATTAATTATTAAAACAAATATTTACCTCTAAAATACGCAGCAGTTGCAAATTGCACGACACTATTCGGTACATGAGTACTTAAAAATGTAAACATTATAGGTATAAAAAGAAATACTGGCACATTAATTCTGATTTTAAAGCAAAGCAAACTTACATTTGGAATAAATAACCTTTAGTTGTAAGTTTAAGCAGATGAGGTTGGTATAAAATAATATCCAAAGTATTTTCTTTCTTTTCTATCCTAAAAAACTTCATAAAAAATAAAAGTCAAAAGTCAAAGCTAAAGCGTCAAACGTCAAAGTCGAAACTCATCACACACTTCGATCAGTGTTGCCAGAATATATTTTTGTTATGTACCAGATTTGTCTGAGGAATGTACAAGATTCCATAAAAATGTTCTAGATTGTATAAATTGTACCATATTTTTCGAAATGTAAAAAAAAAAAAACAAAAAAAGCTTTTATCGAGAACAAACAAAAACACAAACAAGGAAGAACCCAACAATATATTTTTCTCATCAAATGGAAACAGGCTAAAAAAGAAAACATTTTGCTTCGAGTGTACTAAAGTACCAGATTCTTAAATAATGTACTAAATCTAGACTGGCAACACTGACTTCGATATTTTTTCTTACCATACGGAGAATAGTCGCACTGCGCAGCTTTCTTAGTGCCTTTTACACATACTTTGATTTTCTTTTACTATACGGAGAATGGTCGCACTGCGCAGCTTTCCTCCATGTTTCTGAGTGCCTTTTAAAAGGAGATAGAAAACTCCGCCATTTTGAACCCTTATTACGTGTGGCCTACATCTTGGCGCAATATTTTTAATAGGTGCGTTCTCCGAGCAATTACTACTATACTCTGTTTTTAAACTAAGAGGAGCGATTTGAATTTAAGTTGGCAATTCTGTAGCCTTCTGATTGGTCAGATTACAGTCAGTTTCACACATTACTTTTTAGCATGAACATCAGCTAATAATTGATATTGATGACAGTTCCGACATTTTATAATTTGATATCTCATCCATTACAGTTTTTTACTTTATTTCGTAAATAATAGTTATTCAGTAAGCAATTGTATTGAAAAATCTACCATTATGGATACTTCTACTATTAAAGGTAGCAATTCCTGAAAAGCCTTACAAGAAAGGGAAGATACCTTATTATTTTACATGCTGATTCTGAAGGTTTTGTAGAAAATGCATTATTGGTTTTTAAAGGTAAAAAGATGGGAGATTACCATGAAGAGATGAATTCCAAAGTATTTTAGAAAAAAATAATTTTATTACTGATTTTTTAAAACTAAAAATTGATGAATTTCTAACCAAAATGATTAAAACGTAAATAAATATTCAAGCAAATTTTATTTATTAGAATAGAATAAAACTATTTACAAAATTGTTATAACATTTAAAACACCATCTACTACTTTAGGGACAATCTTAATTTGGCACAATGAGTTAACATTACTTTCACAAAAAATATTTTAAAAATACTTAAAATTAATACATAGGTATGTATGAATAGTTCACTTTAAAAAATATATGTTGACATGTAGTGTTATGAAAATGTTGGTTCCAGTTTTCAAAACAAATTCTGACTCATAGGCCTGTAAACTTTTGAATGCCTTTATTTGCCCTCTAGCGCATTAACCATGGGTTAACACTAAATAAGCCATAATATCCACATTACTCATAGAAGAGATACCAGTTACTGTGTGATCCACTTGTCATTCACTGATTAACTTTTACTTTTTATACCTATAACAAATAATATCCTTAAAAATGTAAACAGATCTTTATATTTTATACTAACCTGGCTACATCTGGATATTCCATTAACAATTTTCTTAAATATTTAATATCCATTTTAAAAAGATCATAGTTATTCTCAAAAAGTCGATTTCAAAAGCAAGAAAAAAGTATTTCTGACATCAATCAACAACCATATTGACTTTAATTTGACAGTGACATTTCGTTTTAGACACACATTTCAGATCACAATAATGTGAAATTTGCGACTGTTGTCTGGGACCAATTAAAAAATTACTTCTATGACATTTATTCGTTTCTTAACCGCTCATTGGCCGTTCACCGAGTAAGGCCGATAAAGATAATTATTTAATAAATTTTGAACACGACTTTATTTTGAAACTGGCTCTTAGTAACAAATCTAGTTACTTTTCCCTGTGTAAATGCGTCTTTTCAATTCGCTCCTCCTAGTTTAAAAACAGAGTATAGAGGGAGTCTTCCCCCCTTCCCCGCGCTAAATTTTGTTAGCAACATCTACTCCCCCCGAGGGGGAAAATACCTCTTCTGTAATTGGCTTATTTAATCAGCGTTGCCAAGTTTGACAGCGGCAGAAGTGTTCTGTGAGCGCCAGTTCTGACACTTTCTGACACATGTCAATTTCTTATTTGTATTTTACGGAAAATATTATTATTTATAACGTTGTAAGGGTTGTAAATGTATATTTAAGATTTATTATCTCTAATAATATGGTGAAAACATGCTTTATGTGTAAAAGGCCTGTTGAAAATGCTTCTTCAAGATAATATCATAAGTAAGTACAGACACAACCTAATTATCAGAGGCGGTGCATTAGGCAATCACCTTTAATTTGCAATTAAACTTTCTTATTTTCTTATTAAAATTAAGAGCTAAGTTCGTCTTCATTCGTCTCATAATGATTATAGTAAAGGTTAATTACTTATTATTATTTTAATATCACATCTTTGTAAAGTTTATTGTTGTTTTTTTTAGGTTTCCTTTTCTTGATATGAAAAAGAAATACATGGTTCCAAAATATAGGAATTCAACAAGTGACCACCTGAATAACTTTTTATGCTAATGAACATTTTTATTACAGACCTCAGGGAAGGAAAATATTAAAGAAAAATGCAATTTCGACGAAGGAAGTATAATAATCAATCCTGTCACTACTTCTACATTATATTCATCTGCTACTAAAATACTAAAACAGCAAGTAAGTAGAGAAACTTAATTTCCTTTTAAAAAGAATGTTTAAGGAACAAGGCATAGCCATTTTTTTGTTGACACTTTTTTTTAACTAATCTAAAAGACTAATTTTGTGTATTGTTTAAATGTTCATTTTTTGTACTTAATTTGTTTTAGGTTTAAACAAAATGAACTTCTAAGATATGCATGGAATATCCCAAAAGAGCTAAGGAAGGTTTTAAAATTCTTAAGAAAACTATTTAGAGCCAAAAACATAAAATAGTCCAAAATATAAATAGGTATAAATATTTAGATATTATGAGTGATTTTTTATTCTATAAATATAACATAATTTTCTTCTAAATCACTACCTAATGAACTATATTATATAGTACACAACTAAACAAGAATATCACATTATTCATGTTTTTTTTTTAATTTCCTTAAAAAACGTCCCAAAAAAATGTGAATATTTATTATTGGATTTAACATCGTTATGCTAAAACAATACTAGAACAACTTAAATAATGTGGATTTTGACTATTTTGAGTTATGCAGATCATTATGATCTAAAAATATGTTTGTCTGGTGCTATAGTCAGGTATAAAAACATTCATTTGTTTAAACACAGTTGCAATATACATTTTATTTAGTTTTTAAGTTAAAACCTATTAGGACACCCTAAAATTACTTTTTTCGTTTGATGTGAGATTAATTATTCTACATTTTTGTTGGTGAAATAGGATATATTAAGAGATGTCTTACTGTTTTCTCTGATTATCTTAAAAGTCAGAACAATATACAAAGACTGTTATAACAAAAAAGAGATATACCTTTACTTAAACTCACAATTAGTCAGTTCAATTGTACGATAATTTAAAGCAGAAATCCAGAAAACTTTAAAAATGTGGTTAAATGTGTTTTTACTATAACAAGGACATAATTATTAAAAAAACTTGGCACATTAACATTGATGATAGTTTTTTATAATATATATTATACAAATCACAACGAACTACACAAAATGACATTATTAATAATTTAGCAATAAAAAGTTAAGTACAATGATGACATTAAAAGTTGAGTTTTTTGAAATACTTTTTTTAAATTGTCTCAGTAACTACCTAGTATTTTTCTAGCACAATGATATTATATGAATGTGCATTGTGTGATATCTTATATTTTAGGAATAAAATTATATATTTTTTTGCAGGTTTCTGTTAACAACGATTCCAAGAACTTTTGAAAATATTATTATAACGGCCTTTGCAAATATAATTCTCAATTAAGAGCTTTTGATCTAACATAAAATTTTTATTCTCCATAAGGTTATAGCTTCCTAAGAAGAAAGTTTAACAAGACTTACCAGACTCAAAATATCAAAATTTTACCAACCAATTGATGGTTCTACTGGTTTCCACAGGAAAATTCTCCTCGAAACTACTAAAATAAAAGTGGCAGAGGCAACCGAAGAAGGCAAAAAAGTCTTTTGCAAAACAAAAACTAGAAATTTGTTTAAGAATCTATTGTTTGAAGTTTTACCATTAATAATTTTTGATAACGATTTAAGATTATGAAGTTCTATTATGAATTTTACTCTTTGATAACCTATGTTTAAATTTTTATTAGGAGCAAAATAAATTATAATTTTCATTTCAACTACAAAAACCCTCATAATATTAAAAAGGGGAAAAACGTTAGATTAGTTATGTTCAGGAATAAACTCTTTAAACATTTATCTACTTAAAATGTATTACTTTTGGAAGGTGTTATCAACTTTCTATTTGTACTTGTACTAATTTTTCATTTTTATATCTGTTGTATTTTCAAACTGATTTTGATATTAATTTATATATTTTTTATACTCACATATATGTTTTTTTCATTGAAACAAACGTTTATTAGCTTATTAAATATAATGAATTCATGTTGTTTTATTATATGCTTGCATGAATGATTACTTTTATTTCCTTTTAAAAATGAATTTCGAAGATAAAGCCGAAACGGTGAGTGAGAATAAAAAATTAGACGAAAGTAATTATATTTACTGGATCTTTCATCTACACGCTCCTTTTTCTAGCCATCTACACCTGAGCCAGCAAGATTCGTCTTCCCTCCATCCTTACATTCTCCAGATTTACAGAGAAAACGCCGTTCTCTTTAACATATTCAGACCTTCTTTGACGGGGACTATACCACTACATTATCAGCTTTATTTGTTATCCCGAGCAATTTAAATGCATTCGTAATTGCTCATTCTCACCTCTTCTCTTGTAGATTCCGTAATCAGTTTTCTTATTTTTAGTTACGTTTGCACTGCTCTTTTATTTTCACAGCTTTAATTCTAAAATGCTGTAACGCTACAATATGGATCCATTTTTGTGGTTTATACTATTTAATGTTATTCGTAAGCGACCAACCTATTATAATAATTAAATATTATTGTATTACAGGCCTGATGATGTTCCTGTGAGGCCGAAACTAGTCGCTCCTGTATTAATAATAAAATTGATTTTAAGGTTTTATTCTTCAATTGAAAAAATTAGACCTTTACAGTGATTTTGTTTCTTTTCCTGCATTAGACATATATAAGACGGTATTCATTTTAAAAATAGTAAAATTAGCAAATTTTTTAGTTTTTTTTTACAATTAAAACTTTTGAACAATGTGTGTTTTTATAGATAAATGATACGCCACTGAACAAGAAGGATGTTTACCTTCCCCCTTGTGCCCGCTTCCTCACTTCCTCTACAGATGTTGCTAACACAACAATCGCCTACAAACTCGTTTTCACGCTCCCTCTATTAGTAATTGCTCGGAGGGTGCGTTTTAATCATCCGCTTCTGCTTCGGAATTGTCGGTTTTCTTGTTTTAATTTGACAAGTTAAAACGACTAAACCGACAATTCCGGAAGCAGAAGCGGATGATTAAAACGCACCTGATATTTTGCTTGCGGCTGTCAGTGTCAGTGAATATTTTTTGAGTCACAGATTATTGCTAAAGAATCAGTTAGCTCACTCGGACCAGTTGAAAGTTTCAAAATAAGATCCACTCCAGGGATACAAATTTAGGATTCGCAGAAGACAGCTGTTTTATTATAGGCGGTTGTTATATATTGTATTATCCGAGTTGCGCAGTGTATAAACTGGAACATTGAGATCAAAAGTGCCGACGCAGAGTATGAGCGATCTGATTCTTTAGCTATAAACTGTTGCATAGGGTTCAAAATGGCCGGGCCCTATGTTGGGCGTGTCGGACCTCTCTCTTGCGCCGTATAGTAAAGAAAATCAAAGTATGTGGCCTTTTAAAAGGAGATAGAAAACTCCCGACATTTTGAACACTTATTACGTGTTGCCTACATCTTGGCGCAATTGTTTTAGTTTAGTTTAGCCTGGGTTATTGCTTAGTTTTTCTATGGTTATTGCCGTTATTGCCACGTTTGAGAATTCACATCGGATGCATTTGAGATGTTGTGAATTTTTTATCACGTGATAGAGAATTAGATCTGAATGTAGATGTAATAACAAACGCTCTAGACTTTATTGGTCATGTAATAAAATGTCAATGACAAGTTAGAAGTTTATACTTTTTAAATTTGACTTTTGAGACTACAAATTAACCTAAATTTGAAAACAATAATCACTTTTATATTCATGCTATATAATAAACAAATGATAAATTGACAAACTTGGCTTCACAGAACACTTACTTTCCTGGCATGGAACGAACATTTCATTCACATCTCATTTCAAATCGAGATGCAAAAAACGTAATGAACGGGTACATCTGGGATAAACAAACGTAGATATAGATGTAGTAGATGTGTCCGATGTGGATAAAAAAACGCTAGAGATGTAAAAAATGCATCGGATGTGGATTTTTATATTTACCCAAAGATATTATTTACGAACATACACTTTACAAAACCATTAACAAATAATAAATATCTTGAAAACCTTGCTTTACTTAGTGATTTTATGTTAAATCTATCCATTTGTAAGTAACAGTAACTACTTTAATTATGATCCTATTGTTGTATTCTAAATGCTTTTTATTTTGCAGTTCTCCTAGGAATTTGGAACACTTGAATAGTGTTTACAAACCATTAATAAAATTGTTTAGAAATTATTTTTAGCTAAACTCTGTTACGTCTGTACTCAGCATTTTGAGGAAAATGCTAATTGCTCTTATGTAAAAAGGTATGTGATCAGTCACGAAACAATTCTTTGTAGAAGGCAAATACCAAGAAAATTGAAGCAGTATTAATATCAAACGAAATTATATAAATAAACATGTAAGTAATACTGTTTACTTTTCGGAACATTTATATTACAATAATTGTTTTTATTTATTTCAATTTTACTACCTGTGGCTCATCTATACACCTGAAAGTAGAGGTAGCCCACGGCCATACTGAAAAAATAACCCCCTCTGCTAAATAGTTTATCTGGAAGAGTTAGAAAATGACCTAATATTTAATTTTTTTATTTGGTATAGTAAATCTTGTAACAATTTCAGATAAATGGAAATTTATGACAAGTATTAGAAATTAAAAAAAACCGACTTCAAAAACGTACAGATGCCATCACCACATCTTAACCAAATTTATATGGGACCACCCCTGAGGTACCTCCTTAGTAACAAAAAAACATCATATAAATCGGACAAGGTGGTAAAGCATTATCGCTAAACATACATAAAAAATCATGATCCTATACTTTCCTTATCTGTATACAGATAGGAAAGTAAAAATTAAGAGTTTGAGGATTTTCTCATGGACCCAATTATTAGATTTTGACCAAATTTATATGGGACCACCCCTGAAGTACCCCCTTTCTAACAAAAAAGAATCATTGAAAACGGACACCGTGTTAAAGAATTATCGCTGAACATAAAAAAAAATATTGCGACGAATTGAGAACTTCCTCCTTTTTTGAAGTCGCTTAAAAAGCAAAAGTACCACTGATCCAGGTATATTGATTTTGTACGTTAGACATACACAGGAATCATAAAAGTAACAAAAACGTGTTTTAGAGCCACCATATGTCGATATCCTTTACAATACTGAGCCGACGGACTAAAAAAACCATAGCTAGACCATCGATTACTATAAGCAGAAAGTAGGGTGATATGCAAGAGTTTTGAAAATGTACACTGGCAATCTAATCTAATGGCAATTAACAAACTTGTGTAATCTTTGAAAACGAGAATATTGATGGGGGTGGTGGCAGTAATACCCATAGGGGTATTTTCTTAAATAGAAAATATTTAGCAATTTCTTCCTGTGTTACAAGTGAAAGAAGACTCATTTGTAAATGAACAATACATCTGTTATAGTTAAAAATTTAACAACTACATATAACTAATTAACTGTTATACAAATTCAACGTGTCTGTCTTAGATAAATTATAAGATAAAAACACAAATCAACTATCTTTTGCAGCTTGCCTGCAGGAGTATATTCCTCTGGTATTATCTTTTAGTTAGAGATTCTTTAATCTCACATTTCTTTGTTTTTATTTTATAGTTACGCACCATATTTACAACTGAAAAAATGCAAAATATAATATTAGATTGTTTAGCCTCAAAGATTATTATTACTTCACAAAAATAAAATGTTTGTTCATGGGCATGGGACTGGTGAAAAATATAATATTAAGGTAAAATCATATGCACAGCTTTAAAAATAATTTAACACCACTCACCTCTATTTCAAAATGCACTCGCAATTATAACTTTACTTCAAAGAAGCTTCTTGTATATTATTTAAAATAATTAAACGTTTCTTCTACATTTGTTGCCTTCATTTAAAATCTCAAAATACCAAGATGTAGGCTACCAGTTTAACATTTTGGAAAAATGTGTTGCCTGACGTAGTAGTAGTTGCATCAAAATGGCAGTGTCCTATGTTGAGCGTATCGGACGTCTCGCTTGCAGCGTTAGTAATCAAAGTATGTGAGTCTAGTTAAAAAAGGTCTTAGGTAATGAAAGAAAGAAAAGTATGACGTTGTCAGATTGACAAGATGACAAGTGAAAAAATGTGGTTATGGTATGGTTATTACAGTTTAAAAACATAACTCTTTTTAGTGGAGCTAAAAGCTAAATAACCTAAATTAACATGATACGACGACTATTAACCAATGCTATTGAAACTGCTTTACCGTCAGAATCAGCACCACACTCTCATTCTTTTTTAAAAAATGATCTAGCAACGTTTAGATGGCTCGCTACCACTGGACCATGTTTCCCAGTTCACGCAAAAAATATAACTATTCTGACAGAACCTGACGAATTTTATAGTACCTTAATAACAAATTGTCATAATGCCAAAGAAAGAATAACGTTTGCTAGTCTTTATCTGGGAAATGGGCCCTTGGAAAAGAAAATGTTAGACTGTATAAAAAGTAATCTCAGTTACCAACATAACACACTCAGTATTAATATTCTGTTGGATTTCACACGAGGAAGTAGATACGAATCGAATTCCAGAACAGTACTATTACCTTTAATAAATGAAAATAATAAATTAAAAGTTTCCCTATACCACACTCCTGCATTACGAGGGTTATTAAAAAAATATGTACCGCACCGTTGGAACGAATTAATGGGCTTACAACACATGAAGCTTTATATTTTTGATAATACCCTCATTATAAGTGGTGCAAACTTATCTAATGATTACTTTACAAATCGTCAGGATAGGTATTTTGTCATTAAAGATAAAAGTTTATGTGATTTCTATTGTGGCCTAGTTAATAAAGTACAAGATTTTAGTATGAGTGTAGATAAAAATAATAATGTCGTTTTATCAGATAATTGGGATATTATGCCTTATGGTAGCAATAATAATACCTTCATAAAAAAAGCTGCAGAAAATATAGAATTATATCTTCATAAAAGTATAGCACAGCAAAGTATATGTGATAAAGATAAACATGGTAAGGATAATGTAATTAATTTCTAATCAGAATTCAGTTTTATAGAAACATGAATATATGATTGCTGTTTTAATATTGTTATGCAATTATTTTTTAATTTAAGATACTTGGATATTTCCATTAATACAGATGGGTCAACTTGGAATAGAACATGATGCCCATGTTACTAATAAACTCTTAGCGGATGCACCACCTGGTAGTAGACTAAGAATAGCCACTGGTTATTTTAATCTTACTCATGAATACATGAAAACTTTAACAGATTACTGTCAAGCATCATGCGATATTTTGATGGCACATCCAAAGGTAATTTAATAATTAATTATTGTTTATGAATCAATGAAGATAATTCCATAGTTTTTATTTAATTAAATTTTAAAGATAGAAGGTTTCTTATTTGACGTAATTGAAGACACGTGTGGATAAAGGTGTCATGTCACAAAAAGATTATTTCGAGAGAAACAAGTTTAAAGTTTTACAATTGAATTGTTCTGTGTAGCTCATGATATAGAGAAAGTAAAAGTTGAAAAGTCTTTTGGTAGGTAGAGAGGGGGTAAACGTCAAACCACGTCGGGCGGCTCCGAGAATTTCGCAGTAATGTTTACCTGCCAGTGTCGTTTCATAGAATAAGTAATTTTAAATTGTTATCGGCGGAACTGGACAATCGCATGTATTTATGGATTATAAATAATTATTAAACATGTATTATAATATTCAAATCATAATTTTACAAAATTTCAACAGCTATTCACAATTTATTAAACTATTTACTTGAAATTGTTATTATCATCTATAAAATAATTTTGTACGCCAGTGTATCGCGTCCACTTTGGTGAGATCCGCTGCCAACCTGTCAATTTATGTGTATAAAGTGGGAGAACTGGCAAAAGCATTTCCAACTTTTACTTCTGTTCTACCTTTCTATCTGATGAATAGCCGTTATTTATTTATCAAAATTGAAAATCAGAACTATCACAAACAGAAAATATAGTATATTTTTAAAAATAATTTTTTAGAAAAATGTGACATGACACTTTTATCTACCTACTTGTGTCTTGAATTATCATTGTATATTTATTTTGAAATATAAAAGTATAAAAACTCATTGTTTAAATAATAAAGACATACCTACCTACACAAACTCAGCTCTGCCAAATCTAACTGACAACATAGATAAGCTTTATTAAAAAAGGCTGTATAATAATATTAACATATGTGCAATTTTTTGGGTTTTACAGTTCTTCAGAAGTTACCAGTTTAAAAGGCAACATTGTGTTTGGGTAAATGGAGTTTAATCAAACATAAAAATTACCAGATCAAGTGTAGTGCAGGGATCCATGCTTTGTTTCTTTTTTAATATATACTGCCCAAATGTCAAATTACAGTCTAAATAGTCCATGGAATTGGTACTTTTTGCCTTACATCAAATGAGGTAGTTCTGATTCTTTTATATGTTAGTAGTGATGAGATGGTAATGACAAATCCAAATTTTCCACCTCGAAAGCCCTTCAGATCATTGTTAAATACTAAAAAAATCTTTAAATTTTAGGACTTTTTTCAGTTTTTGTCAATTTTTACCACCAAGGACTTGTGTTATGGCAGTGTTAAGTAGACTAAATTTGCAATAAAATGAGAATAATGTGGTTTTGGTAGGCCAAATAGTTTATAAGATACTGCTATTTAAAAGTTTGCAAAATTTTAAAAAAAGGCAGTATTACTTTTTTTAGTTTTTGACAATTTTTACCCCTAAGGAGTGGGTTTATGGGAAAAGTTACTTTTTTTGGTTATTAAAGTCCACTAAATTCCCAACAAAATGAGACCAATTATGTCAACTTACATCTGATAGTTCTTGAGACACAGCTGTTCAAAGTTGTTGAGGTAAGTAAACAATTATGTACTAGAAGGGTTTGCAAAATAAAGTACGCCCTGTTAGTGAAATAAGCATTATAATTTATTAAAATGAACATTTTACTAATTAAAATATTAATATAAAAAATGTAATGAAACTCCTCATTGTATTTTATGTACAGCACAGTTAGAGAAATAATTATTACTCGCTTTTTTTTGTATCTTTTTGATGGACCAGGCTCGTTCTCTGAATCTACAGCTCAACTTTTGGGGGTAGCTTGCTGAGTTAGAATTTTTTCAGCGAACTGCTCAGGAAGGTCGAAATCGTCATTTGATGGTGTGTCATCAATGGTTCATCAATATAGTCACACATCAGGTATGGTATGTTCTCGCAAGATTGGCCAGTGCAGTAGCTGCAAACAGCCGAGCATTTCAGTCCTACTTTCCTGCAACCACAACTGCTGATACAAACTTTTTTGCAGTTACAGAAAATCATAGCAGAGCTTGAGGAGCTGGTGGTGCCATCATCTGTTGACGAACGAGGCCTTGTGTACTCCGCATCCAGCCCCAATCGAGAGGATTCTTCTCATTTCCCAGCCACTTCTGTATCTGAAACAAAATATGAAACCATGTATAAAGAATGTAGTCTGAAGCAGAAAGGAATACAAGCAAAAAACTTATTCTCACCTGGTGGTATATTCGCAGAGAGTGAAATCTTGCAGCATCCCTGGTTGGAGGCAATCTGGCGAGGTTCATGTTGGGCTTAACTGCTGCCCTAGTGAACAACTGGAAGCGAAGATCGCTAAGATTTTACGAATCTCTGTTGCCTCCATAAAGTGAAACGAGGAAGGTCTCTCCTGCATCGGCAACTTACTCAGGTGTGGCATTCGAGCTTAAGAAAACCTCTGCGTTTTGTTCGAAGCGTAGCTGTTTTTTTTTTGTCGATAGAAATTTATTTTTTCCTTGGCCAAAAGGTGCTGATGTATCACAACCGCTACACGCGTGAAGGAACAGTGCTATTCCGGGTTGTGATAATTGCTTAAAGGAATTTGTCGAGTAGGTGACATCTGGGTTTTTGTCTCTCCCACATTTTACAAATATAATACTATTATTTGGTATGTTTCTTGGAAGGATGTGGTCTCCTCCATCTCGTGACAAACCACAAAGTAAGACCAACAAATCTATATCCTCGCCGACGATCTTCACTACTTCGTAAGAAGAGGATATGGAAATGGCTGTGGTTACTATTAACCTATCAGCATCTTCCTCTGTCTGTAATGTTAGAATTTTGTTCTCCAGGTGAACTTTCAGCATGTCGATGAGTCTAACTTTATTCCTGTCATACAATAGGAACTTGTCCTGAGCAACTGAAGCAATGGTTGTTTCATCGAATATAACATCATGAGAGGATGTTGCTAGAGCTCTACGCAGACGTTCAGAGATCTTGGTATTTTTGTCTGATGCGTCAGGCGGATAGCCATCGAAAACTACAGTTACATTGGAGCCGTAGTGATTTTGAAAGTATTGGACATATCTGGAACCAATTTATCCAAAAGACGCCTTACGAGGCCAGCATGTTAGTTTGCATATCAAATCGGTGACACAGGTTTTTGTTGTATTGTTTCTTCCGTGATATTAATTGCAAACAAAAGTAAAAACAAATTCTGTTATAATATTTAATATAAGTTATGTTACATAAAAGTAAAAAGAAAACACACTTTCAGTAAAAATCTACCAGAAAACTAAAAAAATTGTAATACTTCCTTTTTTTGAAATTTTGCAAACTATCTGGCCTACCAAAACCAAATTACATAATTGTTTACTTGTCTCAACAACTTAGAACAGCTGTGTCTCAGGAACTATCAAGTGTAAGTTGACATAATTCGTCTCATTTTGTTGGGAATTTATTCTCATTTAGTTGCAAATTTAGTCTACTTAAAAAGTGTCCATAGTAACATAGGTCCTTGGTGGTAAAAATTAACAAAAACGGAAAAACTAATTTTTAATGAATTTTCAAGTATTTAACTGTGATCCGATGGGCTTTCGAGGTGGAAAACTTGGATTTGTTATGACTCATTTCATCACTACCAATTCATAAAAAAATCAGAACTAGCTCATTTGATGTAAGGCAACACTTTTTTTGGTACGATATCCATGTACTAAAACTGAAACACATTCATTTGCAATGCTTAAATCATTCGTACTTTTGTGCCAGACAAAGTAGAGTACACTGGAAGTCATTTTTTTAAATTTTAAACAGAAATTTAAGAAACATTTATGCGCCATTCTGTATTAAATCTATAAAAATTCGCTGCTTTTTGTTTCAAAAATGATCTAGTAGTTCTTAAATGGGAGGATGTCCCTTCTTTTTTTTAAGTCTCTGTAGATTGCTGCCACAACTTTAAAGCTCTCAATGTTCTCAAGACACAATATCACGAAATATTCCTAGTGGCGCTCATATAAGTACAATTTTATATTAGAACATTCTTAAAACATTTTAGATTTCGCGAGAGGTCTGGTTTGCTCTTAAATATACATGTGGTTACAGAACTACTACAATTGCAGATTTTTGCTAAGATACTAGGTCAATTAAAACATTTGTGGCTAAATAATATATACAAATTGTTTATAGATTATGGTTAAAAATAATGTTTCTAATTTTGACATATAAAGTAACATTTTTTTGTAATCGCAGTAAGTGTCAAAATGATCTACTTTGCGCAACCAGTTGAATAATGATGGACATTTTGAACTGGTTACGAAAAATTCATTAGGTCACCAGTTGCGAAAAAAAAACCTTTATGGTTTTAAAATCAGTATATACATTATTATTGAGAGTTTATATTAAAGAAGAGCAGGTTGACAAAAATTTAATTTGGTTGAACTTACAACCTAGTAATAATGTTGTTTTGGTCCTTACTTCTCATTCTAAATAATTAAAACATAATACCCGACAAAATAACCCACTTTTTTTAAAAACTAAATAACTTTAATAAGCAATATAAATACACTACAAGTCGTTGAGAATAAATAATTAATATAATGTTCCATTTTTCAATAAAATGATGCATATGCAACTAACAATACAAGAAAGTAATATTGGTTGCCTAAATGTCAGTTATACACAATTAGGCATTCCAACGACCTGTCCAAATGGCTACCAGTGGGTAATGACAGTTTAGATATGGCAACCCTGTTGTCATGTTGTCATTAACAGGGCCAATGATACATATATAGTTATATAGATTGCTCAAAGCTGGTCGTTTACGAGCGGCCATATTGTCTGGTAAATATTTATTAATTTGAATCGGTTTAGCAAAAATGTGTTTTAAAACCAATTTTTTGCCTTTAGGTAATTAAAAAAAATAATTGCTTATATTTTTACTTTAAGGCATAAGCTTATGTTTATTTTGAAAAATATGGATGATCAATCTATGTAACTATCTATTTCATTGATCTTGTCAAATCACCAGGCCTACAGGGTTGCCATAATTTTGCCATATCATACCCCGTCAAAACCCACTGGTAGCCATTCAGTTTGGAATGCCTAATTTTATAAATAATCTAGTCAAAATTAGAAAAAATATTGTATGTAATATGTTATGAAATGTTGTTTTATGTAACCTGCTCATGTTGCGGGACCTTACTCTACTCGTCCCCCAAATATTCACTCGTTACATAAAATAAGCTATTTCGTAACTGGTTGCATAAATAGCTATTGTGTTTATTTCTCTAAAGCTGTGCTTCAAGTAATAAAAATAACCTTGACTTAACTTTATCCGAGGGGTAAACCACCTTGGAATTATAGTGTACAAATTGATGGAAGTCCATGGAAATGTACATGGATGCATCTTGTCTTTGTGTTATGGCTTTTCCACATACTCTGAATGTTTTTAAATTAATCCGTTTCAAAATAGACTTGTCAGGAATAATGTGTCACTGGCTTAACGATTTTTCTGAGCTAAAATAGTAGCCTGTGCAACATGCGTGCAAAGCACACATGTTGCACACTATACCTTTTCTACAATCACTCTATATAGAGCTCACATTACAAATACAAAATTTAAAGGATACAAAATCGTTACAATTCACATCCTTGTAGCGGAGGGGGCATCCAAATAGTGAACACTTAAAAATATGATTCTTCCAGTTTTTGTAAATCGCATATATACATACAGGATGTGTGCCAGAATATGTGAGAAATCTAGATTCAGATTAAATACAAAATAATATGACAATTCCTATAAAATTGTTCCACTGTGTGTTATAGTAGAATTTCGTGGAATTCTACTAGTGGATGTACGTGGCCTTCTTGAGTTGTACTGTTATTATTAAAGGAATTGGAATTACATATTTTTTTAGGTGGTTTACCCCTCAACTTTACCACCATTATTTATTCATATATTTAAGAGTACAAAGTATTTGAGTTAAATAAAGGCTTAGCTTATTTATTAAGTAATATTTTATTGATATTTTTTTTAGGCTAATGGGTTTTTAGGCGCCAAAGGTTTAGCTGGTGGGATTCCTTATGCTTATTCAGTGATAGCTAAGGATTTTAAAAAGATGTATGAAAAAAGAGGTCAGAAACAAAGAATTAAATTATTTGAGTATTACAAAGAAGGTTGGACTTATCATGCCAAAGGCTTGTGGTAAATTATTTTCACCATATTAACTGAATAATGAACATTTTTCAAAGAAATTTTTTAAATCTAATTCTTTGTCATAGGTATTATTCTCCAAATTCAGATGTTCCATGTCTAACGCTTATAGGGTCACCAAATTTTGGAGAAAGATCTGTTAAAAGAGACCTAGAAACCCAAATAGCGTTAATAACTGAAGATCCAAAATTACGTGAAAACCTAGAAAATGAGTGTTCTAGATTATATAAAATGGGTACAGATGCTGAGACTGATAGAAAAGTTCCATTATGGGTAAATGCATTTGTAATATTCTTCAGGAGTTACTTTTAAATTAAAGATTGTTTTATTTTGTTTTTATATATTTGTTACATTGTTAAAAATATATTTATTTTGCTTTTTCACCTCTAGTTTTAATAATACAACAAAATTGATTGTTGTATAGATTGGTTGTGTTTTGTGGGACCTTACTGAGAGTGACAAAATCATAACGTTTTTTTTTTTTTTGAATCCTCAGAAACGTAAACAAAAAATATTCTTTTGAGTGTAGATAATAATAAGGTTTTATTTGTAACTAGGGTTGTCACCTTTTGGAAAAGTGAATAAAGAACTACGATGCTGACAGAGGCTTCGTATACAAAAAGTCCTCATTCTTTACTGACCTTCTAAAAAACAACAAAAAAAAATCCTCTTCATTCTACCGAGCTTCTAAAAAAAGTCAAAAAAAGGCCCTCAGTATATATATTTTTGTACAAACCATGTCCCTTCCAAAGATATGTGCTGTAAAAAAAGACATTTGCCGTAAAAAAGGACATTTTGAGCTTTAAAAGTCACAAGGACATTTTGCTTCAAAATAGAACCGTCCTTTTCAAAAAAGGACAGGTGACAACTCTCTGTGACATTCATTTTAAATAAAATTCTTGGAATATATAAATGAGCCGTTTATTTTGAAAGTGGCCTAAATCCATTTATACTTAAATTGAGATAGCTAAGGCTTTGTGTAAATTTTGTTTAACTGCATTAATTAAAGGTACTGGTTATTCAACTAATGCAATTGTCCAAAAACTGGGGTTAACTTGTTCAATACTAATTAAATTACCTTCATCACTGCTTTCAGATATTTTCGATACTGAATATCTTAATTTAAGTATAAATGGACTTTCAAAATAAACGGCTCAAATATTTATATATTATAGAGATTATAATAGATCAAGTAGTAACAAGACATTTTTTTGAATACTCTAAAGAAATTTATGAAATACAGTTTTCGAACCCTACCAATCATCAAATTTTAGAGGTTGCAGTATATTGTGAATTACAGATAGTCTTCTAGAGGTGATAAGGTATGTATTCTGTGGAGGTGACTGCAAAAAGTGGCACGTGCTGTTTTTTGCTTGCTATTTATAGTTAGGTCCAGTGGAGGTAGTGAACAACATGCATCCATTAATCAGATGGGTGAAGGTCGACCTTACTTCCTATCTTAGACTATTATACGTTATTTGTTTAAATATACAAGATGCACCACAAAAACTTAGGCTTAGAAATGCCAAGAATAAAAAATAATAGCTTTCTTCATTCAGTAGAATAAAGGTGGCGCCCTCTTTGTCAAATCTCAATATTATTAATATGCTTATGATTTATTAGCACAAAAATATAACTATGCCAAATTTCACTATTAGGTTAACTCAAACTGAATACGTTAAATAACGACAATGCATTTTAACTCTTTATCTCAGAATTAGATAATATTGAATCCAGTGCTATTTAGCAAAATAGTAATATTTTGAGGTCCTGAACCTATGGTTATAGTAGTTTACATTATAAGACTGTTACCTAGATCTTTAGAAGCGAGCACGGTCGTTAATGTGCGAGCTAGCGAGCACATACGATTGTGCGAGCACGTAGAGATCAGGTAACGGGTGTGTATCGTACGACGTTTTATTATATACTGCAATTTACTACGTTTTACAACTTAAAATCAAATAAAATTTTATCATTTGACACCATCATGTGACTTAAATAATAACAGTTTAGTTATAACTGAGAGTTCAGTAATAACTTGTTAAAAATTTTACCGGGATAGCCCGTTAATACTCCCTTAACCATAAACAGAGGTTGGTTACTACAGTATAACATTGCAGTATGTCATAATATATTTACCATTCCTTATAGAACACCCTGTATATAAAGATTAGTCACAGCTGCAAAACTTACTAAAAATGTTCATTGTTAGTAGTCATTTGGTAGTTTTACCTGGAAAGTTTTCCGGGAGTTTTGAAACTGGGTAATTTTATAGATTTCGAAGTACTCTTTCCGAAAATCAACTTTGCAACATCGTATATTGGCCGCTTGTGTCGTCATATTGGAAAAATGGCGCCTAAAAATTATTTGACAATAGTTCTTTTCAGACTCATTTCACGATAAAAACATTTATTATAAACAAAGTAAAACTAGAAAATTTCCTAAAATTTATGCACTTACTTTTTTTTTTTTTTTTCGTAAAATCGATAGGTTTGGCGTACGAGCGCTGCAAAGTGTAGTTCAACACGCATTTTGGCTAAGAAACTTATTTCCATACAACCTTGAGGTAGAGTAAGCGGCGTGTTTTTTTTATCGTTGTATCTTCAGTAGGCCTAATCCACACGCAATTCACTGTTCCAAAATTTAGCGCACTCTTATTCGCTTCGTTGTTTTTGATGGACCCGGTGTTGCGATGAGTTCATTGTCTTAAGTACCGATCGAAACGTAATAGACTGAAATTTCTTCCACATCGTCCACGATGGGATTACCAGTTTCATCGCAATCCTCTTCGTTCTCATCATACGTTTGCTCGAAAATAGTCTCCATTTCTTTCTCTTCATCATTACCTTGCAATGGAACTTGTTAGTTATCTCAGGTACCACTACAATTCGTACATATAACGAAACACTTTAACGCAGCCTTTCTGACATCTCTTTTTGCATTTGCAATAAATAGGTGCCATTTTTTCAATATGGCCGTGCGAGCGGCAAAGATACGAAGTGGTAAAGTTGAAATTCGGAAATAACACATTAAAATACATATAAAATTACCCATTTTCATAACTCCCGGTAAATTTTTCAGGTAAACTCTTTTAGAACCAAATTACTACTATTTGTAGCTACAACCCCTTGTCTTAGAAGGGCAGAATAGCAGTTCATGTTTGTCTGTTTCTATTGTACACGTCTGTAATTATAGTGCTATTTACTAATGTATAAACATTCCCAGTAAACCACAAGTAGTCGGCATTCGCTCGGCCTAACACCGGAATGTACAGGAAGCCGAGTACTCGAATTGCCATTGTTGGGGTTGCTTCTGAGCCGGGAGGACCGTACCATTTGACGTAATTTAGAAGTAGAAACCGCATGTGGTCTATATTTGGCTTTTCAGACATGGGAGACATCCTTACGGGCCGAACGCGGTGAATATTTGGCAAGCCGGGCATGGGAGGCATCCTTACGGGCCGAATTATATATAGATATATGAACGGGGCTACCAATGTAGTGGACTGCCGACATTCGGCTGGGCGGACATGCCCTACCTTTATGCCGAAGCTGCACCTGTATATCGGGCCGAGTCCGGCATGCCTTCTTCGGCCCAGTTACGGTGTCGATTAACTGTGTTTATTGGGTTGGCGTCCCAAACTAAAGATCATAATAAATATTCACGTGTAATGTTGCCACAATTTTTTGAAAAATCGTATTACCGATATTGATGTGCGTTTTTTTCTGTCCAACGGGTGGAACTGATTAGTTTTCGAACATAGTTGGAGCATCTAGGAGGCATCTTTGTATAGGGCGTTTTTTTACTTATATACTAAGGTATATTGCTGTTTTATGGTTAGAAAATTATTTTAATAAGTTGTTTGTAGGATTGCCATTGTTGCCAACGCCGTTATTTTAACCCGGAGAGTCCGGGTTTGACGAACATTTTCCGGGCTTCAGGTTTGCATTTAGCATCACATATCTCTAACTTTTTGAGGGCGACACTAGGGCATTCGGATCAACAGGTGGATTTATATGAACAAGTGAAGAGCAAAAAAGGTCTTTAAGTCTACTTGACGCTTTTTGAACTACATTTGGAAAAGGTGTAGATCTCTACTTCAAAATTTGACAGTTGTCAATTTTATTATAATTTTCCATCATGGCTCGTTTTAATAATATTTCTGCCGAATTAATATATTTTTTATTTCATCATAATCTGTACACAACTGGACAATTTAAAATTCTCCTACAATCGAGAATTTTCAATTGTCTAGTTGTATAATATACTATAACTTTACAAGATTACAGTAAAGTCATATGTTGGACACATCAAATATTTTTAACGGGAAACTATATACTTACTATGGGATCTATTAACTTTGGGATCCCATCCTGTAAATAATATAGCGGTTTGTAAAAGGGTATATATTAATATAATGAAATAGACAATTCCGTCATGACAGAAAATTATATAATTGACATTTTTCTTTTTTTAATAAATATTAATGCTTGGCAACCGAGGTCGTCAAGTAGATAGATAGGGTGCACTTAAATCCTGCCTCCCACTAAGCTGCCTTAATAGGTAATATTGATATGTGTGGCATGGGTGTGACATGTATCAATATAATATGAGTTGGAGTTAGTATGTAGTGCTTCCAAGGCGCTACAATACTTTCCCCTTTTTAAAAATTTATTTAACAAGTTTTTTTTAATTTGTTTTATGTTTGAATTGGTTGATCGTCAAAATATAATAATATAGTTGGTTGTAGTAAAGTATTTTTAATAAATATATTTAATTTTATTATGTATATAGAAAATGACTAATTGGAAAATGAATAAATTAATGGCAAATGTAAAATATTGATTGAATCCAAAACTATGATGGTGTCTGTAGACCATATGTAGTTTATTAGATTCTGCTTAATCAATTAAAGAGGCTTTAATAAGCGATTGCTTCGCTATGTTAAGGCTCTTTTGATACACGTTTGACCATTATTTTTAAACAGAGTAATTGTTATTTGAGTCAATGAATATACTCATGTAGGAAATTACTAAGTGATAATTGTAAATTGTATATAAATACATGGACGATCAATATATATGTTTTATGTTTGTATTTTAATTTTTGATATTCTTGCTTTCGTGTTGTTTAATAATGATTAATAGTTTGGTTTTGAAAATGTTTTTGAATTGAATGCCAATTCTAATGACTTTATTCATTGTGTGGCAGTTAGTGAAAGGAGATTAAACTCGCCCTGTACATCGGATGTGTAAATTAAGGTTTAAAAATTTTGATTTTGTTAGTCCTGCTGATCCTGGTGTTCTGATACTGCTGTTAGCTGCTACTCCTTCGGCTGCTTCCGCTGTTAATTAAGCGGTGTGGAATCATAGGTACAGATTCTATCGGGGTCACCAATTATGGGATCTATTAACTTTGAGGTACGGATTCTATAGGGGTCACCAATTATGAGATCTTTTAACTTTGTAGATCCCATGTTATAAATGATATAGCGGTTTGTAAAAGGGTATATATTAATATAATGAAATACACAATTCCGTCATGACAGAAAATTATATAATTGACATTTTTCTTTTTTTAATAAATATTAATGCTTGGCAACCGAGGTCGTCAAGTAGATAGATAGGGTGCACTTAAATCCTGCCTCCCACTAAGCTGCCTTAATAGGTAATATTGATATGTGTGGCATGGGTGTGACATGTATCAATACATTATGAGTTGGAGTTAGTATGTAGTGCTTCCAAGGCGCTACACTTACATAAAAAAAAAAACAAAGATGTATAGTTTTAAATCACTTTATTATTTTTTTACAAAACAGTTGCTAAAGCATTAATGCAACACTGTTCGAGTAACAAAAATCATTAAGACATTTTGAGTACTTAAAAACTATGTCTAAACAACACTTTTTTTTCTACCTGAGTGTAAAAAATACATTTTTTCTTTGTGATAGTGGTATTCTACCTTAGTAAGGCAATTTTTGTAGTTTCAAGTGTGTAAATAAAAATTAACTAGCACTTTCTTTGGTAAGCTTTGCTTAATATTTTAAATTATGACTAGTTATTGTATCACTGAAAACAGTGGTTAAACTCACACATTTTGATGCAAGTAAATTTTATTTTAATCCAAACTGGAGAGGGTACTCTTTCTATTTCGCTTTACTTATACCAGTCTTTTTTTTTTTTTTTTCGTTTACATTATCAGTATCACCTCGAGTTTGGACTTATTACAGTGAACTTACGTAACTAATAAATGTATAGAAGTTATTGCCACATTACTGATTATTATTAATACAAAAAATTCAAATTTTTTAACCAGGTTAGTCATTAACTGACTGATATTTTCTCGAGTTTAATTTATTATTTTATTTTTCCAGAAAGGTAATAACTTCTAACAATATCTATATCTATTTTTTTTATATAAAACTTGTTTCAAACTCAGTCTTTGGCTTGATTTTTTTAGAATAAATTAAACTATGTACATAAATAGTATATACAAATCATCTAATCACAATTCTTTATCAAAATCTGATACAAAGAGAACAACATAGTAAATCAACATTGATGATGATTGTGATGCGAACAAAATCAGTACAAACATAAATAAATCTGTTTTATAATTTTCTAGCTAGTATAATTTTTTTGTAAAAAACGTGATACTTAAAAAAATTAAATTCTAGAACGAGGACTTCGACAGCAGTACCATTTCAAAATCTTCAGTTCACTACAACATTTAGAATCAAAGTACGTAATTTTGCAGCAATAAATGCGTGATTTATTCGAGAAAGTATATACACCTGAAAATCTTACTGACACCACTCTCGCTCCATCATCATTACAAAAAGAACAGATCTTGACAAAAAAAAAACTAATAACACAGCTACAACAGTTAAACTCCCCACTTATTGTACATCACATATTGACTATTCACGCCATCTCCAAGGTTTTCGACGGGCTCCTCTGTCGGGTTCATAACGTTAAAGAGGACGGCGAAAATAGTACAAGCAGCGTACACGCCCAGCGCTATCCACCAAAGCAGCTGCTCGTGAAGCTTCTGCTCGAAATTTTTCAGGACTAGTAGACCGATGGTTAGACCAGCAAGGGCTCCCGTAAGGTGAGCTACGTACGAAACTGGAAGACCCATTGCATCATATCTCGAATAGATTGCGTAACCGACGTCACACGATGCTGAAACAAAAAGAAAATATTATTTATCTAAATACTTTATCAGTCCTGAAAAATGAACACCAAGAAAACCATACACGAACCCTTAGAAATAAATCAGGATGCATGATCGATTTTCTAAGAAGGCATAGAGTGGACACTATCAGAAAGAATATCAAATGGCATAAGAGTCTTAAATTCAATGTCGTGGTTTATGCAACACGTTGGGCGCCAAAATTTAAAACACACAGAGACATACAAAATATTAACCCTAGATAAATTGAAGTAAAATTATCTGTACTAATTGGCTCTACAACTCCTGGCAATGATTATGCAGTTGAAAAATTACATTTAATTAAATCAACCCATATGGTATATTAGTTTAATAATTAGTTAAATAATTCTACTTTGTAACTAGACAGGAAAAATTATAAGTGAAATTTGGAGATCGAACAACTGATAACCTGAAACTACATTTCTTAAGCTGCTTCTAGTTGTTTCAAGCTTGAACAAGAGCACGATAACATTTAGTTATTGCCAAATAGCAATTCACTCTAATGTTAAATTTGTCTAGAAACTGCTTTTAAAAAGTTATCTCAGCATTCAAATCTGTAATTTCATTGTGCTCAAAAGATTATATAAAAAAGCCAAAGGTAGATAATAAGTAATTTGAAATTAACTGACGTTAAAGGAGTAAATACTTGAATTGTTTTTTAACTGTTTGTGTATCATGCTTGTTAGGCTAATATTATCTTAAGTTTTATTTAAAAAAAATTATCCTATACATTTCATCATTTCTACTTTCTATTATTTTGAATCATCGTAGCAGATGGCGTAATATTTATTAATTTCTATTGAATTGACATTCTTTTTCTTGTAATATTTAATATCAGCAAATTCTGGGACTCCCCTAACTCTTAGAATCCCGTCGAATAATTTTTTTGGATTGCTCGTCTAGTAACCAACATAATGTTTTTCTAATTGTTTTAGATTTATATCCTATTTTAATGTGTAATTTTTAAAATGTTCAAACAAATTAGACAATTATCATAACTTAGAGAATAAAAGCACAAAATAGCTAGACCAATAAGTTTTTTGATTTAAATAAAATGAACTACTAATGCCCTTTTTGAGAATGTGACTAAATTAACCTAAAAACTAAGACAGTTTAAATTTTAATGCAATAAAATGGAATTAAGTATAAAAGTACAATATAATATAGAAAAATAGAGTGCATACATCACTAACGGACAGCTGAGAAATATGTATACCAAAGAAAAATATTTTCTTCAAGGTCCCTCGTGGCCAAAAACACAATAGGACGCTAAACTAATAATATTCTAAGTTACTCTTAAAACTTACCAATAGCGAAAATGCCAAATAGCCTTAGAATTCCGCATTGCATGTTATTGTAATTGAGCAATACATTGGCCAAGTGTGCAGCTAGTAAGGCGTAGACACCGCCCGAAGCTCCAACCAGATAAACGTCGTTGTCAAAAACCGAGGTACCTAAAGAGCCAGCTGCTACACCTGCCATGTAGATGAGAGCAACCCTTCCAGAACCGTGCACCATTTCCAAGGGGAGTCCCACTAGTAATTGTACTACGAGGTTGAAGCCTAGGTGCAGCCATCTGGAAAAAAGTTAACAATCATAATCGTGGAATTAATAAAACAAATGGTTAGAGGAGCCAGTACCACTATTAGGTGTGTAATTTGTTCAAGGCAAAATTACAGCATGTTTCGTTCATTCTTGTCTTGTATAACATGGAAATACTTTGGCGTAGCGCTCAACAAAGACGTCTTAAAAAAAGCCGTAGAAAATGCTAATGTCATATACGTGAAATAAGCCTTCATAGCTCAAGTTGTTAAGCGCTCAACTTTATATTTCGCGATTCAGGTTCAATTCCCGTTATCGAAATAGTACAAAATAAATAACAGAAAGGTTAACAGATTACCTGTAGGGTTTATATTATGATAAATAAAATGTATTCAAAATAAATAAACAGCAATTGTCCTGTTAATTTTCCAAAATAAAACAAAAAAGATTGCCTTTATCGGGAATTGAACCGGGTCGCGAAATCCAAAGTTGAGCACTTAACAACCTGAGCCATGAAGTCTTATGTTCAATTAATTATCTAAACAAATATGTGACATTAGCATTTTTTACAACGGCTTTTTTAAGACGACATCGTCGAGCGCTTCACAGCTGGTGCGCCTGCAGCAAAGTATTTCCATCTTCTACAATGATGAACGATAAGTTTGTAAATTATTAGCCTTGCGCAAATGTGTATCTACCACAAAAGTATCACTGGCTCCCCTTACCGAGTGGTTATTGTATAATTTTGAATCAATAAATACGGTTCACGTTTTATAGAATACATTTGTAAAAATAGAAGAACAATATTTTAATGTAGCATTTTCAGGAAGACTAAAAAATGTTGTTTAAAAGGTGTTGTGTAGCATTTTTAATTAATTATTATTTGAATTATAATACTGCCGAATAAATATATTTTTAAATAAGTGATAAAATCATAAAAAATGTACATCGTTACGAAAATGTTATTTTCAACATTTACTGTGCTTTTCTTTGAAGCATAACGTCATTTTCCACTTTGATCTTGAGCATAATTATAAAATTAAAGGTTATTTTCGACGTACAAAGCAGGAAGTCATTTTGAATAATAGGATGATAACCATTTTAAATTATTCTTTATTAGCAAAATTTAAAATTGGGTTTAATATACCCGTGTATATTATATTGTTAAAGTATATTACTGACCAGGTTTAAAGTAAATTAATTAAATATAGAAAAAAAATCAAAGTTATAGTTTATTTTAAATTATAGTTTTATTTAATTTCTTAGAAAATACGGGCTATGTTTATATGGGGCGAAATCATCGTGTTGTGTTTAAAAATAATAGTGACACAACTCAAAAACATAGATTTTATACATTTTAAAATTTCTTGTTTCCTATAAGGAATGTGATATTGAACTTTAAATTTTTCAAAATCTTCTTGAAGAATAAAAAATAGTGTTGTATTCAAATAACAAGTGTGCTTTGATAAAATTAAAAAAAAAATAAAATAATATATTTTAATCCTTCTTTTGAGTTATGACGATCTTCTAGAAAAGTATATTTCACACTATATTGATAACGAAAATTTTAACAATAATGTCCTAATTTGGCTTGTGCCACTGTTGAACATAATGCTCTTAGTTAATTTTTAATAAAACTGGCATATTTTGATTTGTTACTCTAGTGGAACATTGACTGTCGAAGCACTACATTTGTGTCACTCTTCATCTTTATAAACTCGCCACTTTGTAGTACAGAAAGAACGACACAACTGTTTTCCAGCGGTCATTTTTGGAAGTAGCAATATGTCATTCTTCCACATAAATATATATGCCGATTTTGCTATACATTTTCAAAATAAACTCGAAAAGGGAAATTTTTGATTGTGTCACTATTCTTGTGCATCAACGTTATACAAAAAATAGTTCTGGAAAAATCAGGAATTATATTTTCAGTTTCTAAAATTTAGATTTTTGTCCCATTCTGACAAATTATATCTAACGACGCCCCGGATGAAAACCTCAACAGACCAAGATCATGAAGGGAACATAAGGCAAGGACAAATATAAAATGAGTCTATAGTGACTGATACTATACTAAAAAGAAAGTGGTTATGACAATACTAAGAATTTGGCAAATATTTTGACTCCGAGTTAATTAGAATCTAATTTTCAAATTAACAATTCGGACTACGGACATCTAATGTCCTGATGATCGAGTTGGTACGGTAGCCTAGAACAAGTATGTGGAAGGTGTGTGATTTTTTTTGATTAAATATTTATTAGCAATCAAAACAAACATAGCTATATGAGCTAATGTGCTGGCTTAAGAGCAGAGTTATACTCTTATTTGTCATGATGACTAGTCTATTTTCAGTTTTCTTGCATTTTGGGGTTCTATAAGTGGATGGACTAGGTAATGCATTTACGTGATTTTCGAGTTTGTTTTATATTTATCCTGAATATATGGAATTTTTAAGTCTTCATGGAGGGTTACTATGAGCACGCACCAAAGTGCATATGTTATCCATATGCTGCATTTTGGATCGACTTCTATGGATTAAAGCTAAATTTTATTTACTCACACATCCCCAGACCTCAATATCATACGTCCAGATAGGTTTTATGATAGTTTTGTAAAGGAGTTTATATTTTCTAGTGCCAATTTAGATTTTTTGCTGATTAACCAGTTTAATTCTTCTATTTGTACACCAATTTGAGATTTTTAACTATATGTTCTTTCCATGTGTGTCTTGAGTTCAGGTTCGTTCCTAGATATTTCGTACTTGTAGATTATGCTACTTATGTGAATTTTGTTTAGAAAGACTGGAAGACATTAAATATTTTAGTAATAAAGTCACTTGGACTGATTTTGACTTATTTATTTTTATTCTCTATTTGAGAAACCATGTTTCGATATGATTCACGTGTCTTTGTAACAGACGTAATTGGACCACGGTTTGCAAGTTTCATTATTTGTTTCAGTACATACAATAAAGGTCCCAAGAACACTACCTTGTGGAACATCTTATTTTATTGGGAAATTGTTGGATATACTTTCATTCACATTTGTTCTGAATTATCTAGATAAGATCTCAACATTTTGTAGGTCAAGCCCTTATGTCAAACCTTATTAAGGCTTGCCTAACAACTAAGAAAGTAGATGAACAGTATTTGTTGGCTTCCAGGGGTAGATTTATACTATGAGCTCGTCTGTGAACTTGCTGCATCGTAGAGTGTTGTTTTCGGAAACCACATTGGCGGAGGGGTATCCATTCTTCTGTGTATGGGTCAGAATGTATTTTTTGCAGCAATAGTCTTAAATATTTTAGGCATAATTAGTAACAGACTTATAGGTAACTTGATTAGGTTCTTTTAGATTTGTTTCGGTATCAAAATTATTTCAGCAATTTTAAACAATTTTGGCCAATAATTTAGACGTATTATAGCATTAAAAATAAATGTGATAAGGTCAACACCTTTGGGTGGTAGTGCCATTACCATTTTTGGGTATGTTCCTTCTATTCTAGGCACTTTTCTTGTATTCAAGTAGCTAATATCTTGTACTTCGTGTGGTTAGCTGTTTGATGGCTGGTATATTCAATTGGCTATTAACTAGCTCTTTTTAACTTAATATTTTGTTGAAATAGGCACAGAAAACTGACTTTAAATAAGTATAATTCGCACAATTCAAATCCACAATTCTGAGATTATTGCACATTACATTCTTTAGTTATACTTGCATTCGTTTGACGGCGCAACTACCATTGATACTTTTAAGTTTCATCCTGTTAAATCAATCAATCTCTAAATGAAGTTTTTTGAGTTGTGACAGTATTCTCGAAAAAAATTGCGAATGTGTACTTATTGGTACTATAGTAAAAACTTACCCTGCATGTAACAGCATATACAAGAAGAATCTCCATACCTCGCTTCTTTTATCGGGCCTATATATAAATATGGAATCGACTAGCACCGCTCCTGATGGATTGAGTTCACCGGTCGTAATGTAGTAGTACAAATAAAATCCTAACTGAAACAAAAAATAAAAAAATATAAACGCCTATTCATTTGACATGCATGAATTAGTAATATATAGCTAAATATTAAAGTTATGCCACGAATAAAACAGTCCATTACACGGTTCCCACGGTACTAGTTTATTGTAACAACTTTTTAAACTTAATAGGGTTAAAGACCGTTAAAACCGTGAAATATAAATACCACTTTATGAGGTTTACTTTTTTTACTATTTGATTTATTTATATAATATGAAAACAATGCGGTAAATGTTTGTTTTCAAAGTAGTTACTATGTTACTAAGTAGTAATTTTTACGAGCTATTATTGATAAGTTATTGCAATTATATAGTCTCCATAGATAAAAGGCGATGGTTAATAATAATAAAAACAATTGGAAAGAAACCAATAATGTTACTAAAGATACATTTAAATATTATAAGGTGGTGTAAATCTGACATTGATAATAAATTAGGTTATGTTTCCCTATAACATGACACTCAGCTACTTTTGCTGAACATGTAGGTGAGTAAACTTTAATTATTTTAATTCAAAAACTATTGTGTGATAATTTGCTTTGCTGTTACTGTTGTTAGCATCCTTAGTAGAGAATAGTACTGATATTACATTCGATTAACATTTTTATGGATCAGCTATCATCAAATTCACTTCCAGAAATAAAATTATTAGTAATGCTTTGATAAAATTATCATAACCTGCACATTTTTTTCTTCTTTTTTTACTTTTTTTTTACTTTTTTTACTTTTTTTCTACTTTTTATACTATGTGGTTTGGCGAATGGATTCAGTTCACGCAGTCAAAAAATTCAAATTAAAAAAAAACTATTTTTTTTTTTTGATATTTCTGGGTACGCAAATTTTTGGATTGGATATTAATTACGATAGTCTGAAATGCATATAGATGGGCAAAGGGATAATATAATTTGAAGTTCATGTAATTCAGGCATATCTATCATAATCTTAATTTTAGTTATGCATGATAGCAAATACTAAAAAACAAAAATTCTGTAAACAAACCCATACCAATTGAATAAATGGTTCGAATTAGCCAAGGAAAATTTATTGGCTTATTATCAAAATATTTGATGCGAGACTATCTAAATATTTTTGGCACTTCCTACAACGGGATATTTTTACATTTTTAAAATATTTAATTCCGGCACCAATGCTCTAATATTTTAAATTTAAATCATTTTACATAAATTAGCCGGAAGATATTGTGTTAAGACATAAACCCCACATTTTATCTACGTCTATTAGAGGAAAAATATTCGAAAACAAAATCAACGGAGGTTGTTGTTGGGTCTAATTTAAAAATATGTCTGAATATTTTCTGCATCTGCATAGGAAGTTATTAATTACCCTGAAGCCGAACTCGTGTGCTACCTCAAGAGTTTCTAGAATTTTGAAAACACGTGTTGAGATATGGGGCACGGCACGTGCCCATCATACCCATATTTGGGTGTCTAATGAGATACAGAGAATGGGAGAAAACAGGGTAAATATGTAAATAAAATAGTCAGGGTTGTATCAGACCTTTTATTCTCTATGTGTTAAGAAAAAAAAAGCAAAATGTTTTATATTAAAAAAACGCTAGTTTTTATTCTGGATTTTATTTAAAATAAAAACTAAAAGTTATACCGAATATATTCTAGAAAAAATCTTTGATTAAATATAAACCAAAACGTATCTATGGATCAAAAAAGAAAGTGTCAGATGAGACCTTAGAAGTGCTACCTCCCATAAGAATTACAAGAAATTCTAAAAAAAAAAAATACTAAAAAAGAGACTTTAGATGTATTTATTTTTTATATTTCTCTGAAGTATCAAAGATGCCTCACTTGGGGTAATATATATTATAAATAGTGATGTTGAAATACTGACGGTGTTAAAATACGCACGAGTGTCCCGCAAGGCACTGTTTTAGGGCCCATTATTTGTTTACTGCATATACCTTCTGTAAAAATAGCGATAAGTAAAAACTCGCATAGTGCTTCAGAGTTATTTAAATTATTAAGAATAGAGGAAATCAAAATGGGCACATAAATGTTGTATGGAAATAAATATGTCAATGTTTTCTTGGAGAACCTTCTAATGTACCTTATATATGATATATGAACGATAAACGTATCTCTAGAAAGAATATCGACCTTCATTTTGAAAATAAATTAGCTTAGAGAACCCATATCTCAAAGAAGGATAAATAACTAACTAAAAATACCTTGGAAAATGAGGTGCTTAGTAGTTGGAGAAATTCCTTAACAGTATATAGAGGACATAGAACCAACCTTATTTTTAAATTATTTATTATACAGTAACACTTTCGAATAATTGGGTAGCCTGTTAAAAATATTGAGATCTAAACTATTTTTTTTAGATGTTGCTAATGTGATACGTTTATTTACTAAATTCTTCAAAAGTAAAATATTTCAGATAAAATTGTTTTTATAATAAAAAGAAGAAAATTAAAATAAATATTTTTTTATAAAAGAGTGAATAAAAAACAAACAAATAAGTTATGTATTATTTAACTACTGAAATAAAATTTCACACTACCTAAAAAACAGTAGAAATCAGTTTCTAAATTTAAAAATAATCTTGTATATGTTAAATACTGCTCCCTCCTGGGTTAACTAACTAATACATTTTAGATAGTGATATATTTTGAGAGTACTATAGTTTTGACAATACTGTAGCAACTAAAAATATCGCCCAAGATCCGCACCTTGAGGTACGCAAGATGAAATATTAAAAAAATAATCATACCATTTTGACAGCGGTTTAAAAAAATGGTTAAAGCATTGCTTTTGTTAAATCTTATTATAAACAAAGTTAGGTGTCCACTTAATAAATAAAGATGCCAACAAAATGTTGGTACATACTAGCACAGTTTAAGGACTATATATATATTTTTAAAGAATGGTTCAATGTTAAAAAAAAATAATAACTAATAACAAAAGTTATTCCGGTAAAAAATATCCACATTTTTAAAAATGCTGCTTATTCTTTATTTTTATATTCATTTAGTCTATAGTCTGGATGTCATTTTATAAAATTTTCAGCTCCTCCTCGTACCTAAATGAGTAACAAGGATCGACCGACCGACCACTAGGTATTTCAAAAATACCAACAGTTGCAGAGAGTCCGTACACGTCATCTGCACCCTAGAGATATCCGATCCCCCATTCCCTTACCCCTTGTTTCCCATTAAATTAGGGTAAATGTGTCGAAAAATATGGCTCATTTATTTCTGGAATACGGAAACTTCTCTCTCCATGTGAATCGGCCGCCAGACAAAACACAAACACACGTGCCAATCATTGGCGTTACATTTATTTTCGGTCAAACATACATTTTCTTTTATTTAATTAGTACAATTCTAAATTTGAAAAAAGCTTTATTCATAATCTACAGATTTCATTAGAAATTCAAAATCGGGAATATCTATTACTTGCTGATGAGGACAAAACTTATCCAGGAATAACGTTCTCCTTAGTAAGCAAAATAAAAGTTAGAGTGTTGTTTTACTGAGGGTCTTAACTCAGGAGGCAATATGCATGAATTTATTTTATATTTTTAAATCTAGCAAAAGCATTTAGGACGGTGTCACATCATAAGCTCTTAAATATTCTTGAATAGAAAGGAATGGGGGCATCGTGTTGATAATTATTTGGCAAACAGACAGCAAAAGAGAATCATTAGAAACAGTGTAAGTAACCCTGAAACTACAAATTTAAGTGCCACAAGAGACTGTTCTGGGGCCTAACTATTTAAATTATACGTTAACACAGCTTGACTCATTAATATTGAAGGAAGTTGTATCATATACAGATGATACAGTACTAGCTTCCAATGATAAAGACTGAGAAGTCGTAAAGACATGTGCCATAACTGAAATCGAATATGATAAAAGTTGTCTAAATGTTTTGTTGTATAGTCTGAATAAAAGAGGAGTATAGTAAAAGTAGGGATATAACGTCACATTCCATATGCGTACTTTGTAAATAAGATTACGGCATATAAAATGGTAAATATGCACTTCGTAGATTTAATTTTGAAAAAAGTTACATTTTTTACAAAAAATAAAAATAATCCGTATGCTTCTGGCAAAATTGTTACACTTTAACATTGAACGAATTAAATTTAACTAATAAATAACAAGTATGATTATATTATTGGGTTAAAACTTTTTTTAATCTCTAGGCATTAAAAGGAACACCTAAAATCTTAGATTAAAAAAAATAATAAAAAGTTCTAGAACTATCTTTAAAAGTCACTGTCTTCACTATAACTACTTGTATCATTATCATTGTCTTTTCTGAGGTTTATTATTATAGAGTCTATTAAGTTTTCCATTGCTATATCCACGTTCTAAAATGAATTTTCTACCTTTTTAACATGATCAATGCATTTTCTCCAATGTTCTCCATTTACATCTGAAACTGCCTTCAAAAACAAATTTCGCACATCAGGTAATTTAAATGTTGTATTTTTTCGAGAAACATAACCTTTTAATTATTGTGACCAGATCAGTTCAATGGGATTTAACTCTGCGTGGTAAGAAGGCAATCTGAGAATTTCAATTCCTTTTTCTGGGGCCATCTCGTCTATAATATATAACATATAACTTTTAACTTAAATCTTTGATTTATATAAACAATAAATTTAACTTAAATTATTGATTTATAAGAACAATTACTCCTAAGTAAAATATGGCATTTAACATGATTATACTATTTCAATGAAGTGTACCTACATAACAATATATCTATTGATAACGTACTTCTTACTTGACAGGTGCTACACCTTTAAGTCGTTAACTAATTGAAAACGTCCCTTTTCTGAATTTAAAATAAAAATTTAGGGTGGAATGCATTTTGTACATAGATATTACACGTGACCCAACTCATTGCAGAATGAAGCAAAACTACTGGAGTGAAAATTTTACTTTATAATCCTCTATTTCTCTTATAAAGTCAGTTTGGTTATGCAGC